TATATATATATATATATATATATATATATATATAAATATAGGTGGTCCCAAACGAAGGACGTTTTAAAAAAAATATATGAACTGAGCTCAATTTTTTTTTTCCAATACATTAAATAAAGACTGTACACGTTCATATAATTTGATTAAACGGTTTTCTCTATTAAGTTTGTTCATTAATGTCCTTGGTCCGTCATAAAGAAAATAATGATACAAAATGTCACAAGGATGCATTTTAGGGGCAGTTTTGGCACACATGAAGACTTACCTTTAAGCAGCTCTGGTAACACTGGTAGCGCACTGGGATAGAAAGCTGCCTCTTAACCTTACTGGGAATGAAATGATTAACGACTACCGATCAATATTTCAGGTGTTCCCAGGAAGCATTCCAGCATTGTAGAGTCCACAGGATCTAGGGTTGCACAATAATTGGAAGAGTCGAGGATCAAGTAAAAAAAGAAAAAGACAATGTGTTTTGATACAAGTTCAAGTAATGCAGGTCAAATAAATCAGCTTGCAATGTTTTAGAATAAAATTTGGGAAAAGAACCATATCGACTTAGCTGGCGGCAGCCATATATTAGAAATGATTCTTGCAGGTGTGTCGGGTGATAGTAGGGGAATTGCAACTTCTGCTTCTGAGATGCCCATATTTAAAGACTTCAAGGAATCGCTGCTACTAAATACATCGTTATATGCATTTAAAAATTAAAAAAAGTAGGTATCATAGAATTGAAATAGGGCAAGTTCAGACTTTTCAGCCCAGAGATGATTACAAAATATTTCTAAAGTTAGCCATCAAATTAGTAGGAGAATCTCCTCCACTCCTCCACGCGGAATTCAATATGAAAGACTTATCTAAGATATATTCGATATGAAAGACTTATCTAAGATATATTCGATATGAAAGACTTATCTAAGATATATTCGATATGAAAGACTTATCTAAGATATATTCGATATGAAAGACTTATCTAAGATATATTCGATATGAAAGACTTATCTAAGATATATTCGATATGAAAGACTTATCTAAGATATATTCGATATGAAAGACTTATCTAAGATATATTCGATATGAAAGACTTATCTAAGATATATTCGATATGAAAGACTTATCTAAGATATATTCGATATGAAAGACTTATCTAAGATATATTCGATATGAAAGACTTATCTAAGATATATTCGATATGAAAGACTTATCTAAGATATATTCAATATGAAAGACTTATCTAAGATATATTCGATATGAAAGACTTATCTAAGATATATTCAATATGAAAGACTTATCTAAGATATATTCAATATGAAAGACTCATCTAAGATATATTCGATATGAAAGACTCATCTAAGATATATTCAATATGAAAGACTCATCTAAGATATATTCAATATGAAAGACTCATCTAAGATATATTCAATATGAAAGACTCATCTAAGATATATTCGATATGAAAGACTCATCTAAGATATATTCAATATGAAAGACTCATCTAAGATATATTCGATATGAAAGACTCATCTAAGATATATTCAATATGAAAGACTCATCTAAGATATATTCAATATGAAAGACTCATCTAAGATATATTCAATATGAAAGACTCATCTAAGATATATTCAATATGAAAGACTCATCTAAGATATATTCAATATGAAAGACTCATCTAAGATATATTCAATATGAAAGACTCATCTAAGATATATTCAATATGAAAGACTCATCTAAGATATATTCAATATGAAAGACTTATCTAAGATATATTCAATATGAAAGACTTATCTAAGATATATTCGATATGAAAGACTTATCTAAGATATATTCGATATGAAAGACTTATCTAAGATATATTCGATATCTGCGATTTAATTTCTGTTCATTATGTATTAATTTTAAAATACAATGTGATATAACAAATACATTGTGATATCACAATACAGTTTGAGGTTACAAATACAATGTTAGTTCACAATACAGTGTGAGATCACAAATACAGTAGTAGATCGAAAATACAGTGTGAGATCACAAATACAGTGTAATATCACAATACAGTGTTAGTTCACAATACAGTGTGAGATCACAAATACAGTATGAGATCGAAAATACAGTGTGAGATCACAAATACAGTGTAATATCACAATACAGTGTGAGGTCATAATACAGTGCGAGATCACGAATAAAGTATCAGATCATCAATATGGTATGAGAGCACAAACACAGTGTTAGATTCAAAACACAGTGTGATATCACAATGACATTGGGAGATCACAAATAAATTGTTCGGTAACAAATACAGTGTGAGATCACAAATACAGTTTGAGATAACAAATACAGTGTGAGAGCACTAAGACAATGTGAGATCACAAATATAGTGTGAGATCACAAATATTGTGTGAGATCACAAATACAGTTTGAGATAACAAATACAGTGTGAGAGCACTAAGACAATGTGAGATCACAAATATAGTGTGAGATCACAAATATAGTGTGAGATCACAAATACAGTTTGAGATAACAAATACAGAGTGAGAGTACTAATACAATGTGACTCACAAATACAGTGTGAGATCACAAATACAATGTGAGATCGAAAGTACACTGTGACAATACTAATTTAATGAGAAATTTTCACATAATTCCTGCTGCACACAGATCTTATATTATGCTGCAATTTAAATAGTTATAGACTCTCCCCTCCCGCTGTGTTATTTTTTCAGCCGATTAACATTTTTCGCAGCAAATCACTTAAGGCAATAGATCAAAATTTAGCAAAATGTGAAGATCACTTACGGCTGTAAATCCCCTTTGAGCAAAATGTGAAGATTGAAACGATCACAATAAATCTTGTGCACATGTGGTCGAATTCGGATATTTGTATTGTGTTTCCTCAGGGCATCGCTCATTTTATATTTAATACAATTTTAACAGACTCATCAGCACTCATTATTTTGGCATTATTGTGAGTTCTTCTTGATAGTGCACCCGTGAAACATCAGACAAATCCATTAATATTGGCTGCATACTCGGAGTAGGAAAAACAAATTGTTATCAAAAAAGATTTTTTTCTAAATCAGTTAACAAAACTTGTAGATGATAGACAAGACGTGTATAGTATAACGTATTGGTGCATTGCTGTAACGACGGCCCTGTTCAGAAGCGGTTACGTAAATGGGTAAACCTCTCACGGAAAGCACGTTTCATATTTCCTTAATTTTCCCCTTAAATCAGACGTTATTGTTTCTCCTTTTAAACTGAAGGATTTACTCCAAAACTGTTTCATTAATTATTTGGCGTCTTGGCGATGGCCACGGCTCTTAAGAAATCACTGCATCCCACTCGGAACTTCGAAAAAAGACAAGTGGTCAGTGACATATAAATAATTAGTATTTTGCTTAAATTTCTTATTTTGCCACCTAGTTTGAAATGTGATCGAAATTAACGAACCTTCAATAGAAACAAAATCTCAGATGTTATGACCAAAATGATGATAAACACCGGCACTCGGCTACTCCCATGAAGCATGAGAAGCTATATTTAGAAAAAGATACACACTCAAAAAATCCTCCCGTCGCACCATTGCATCAAACTGCACCGGTGTACAACATTGTGTAAGACTGAAACCACAGAATTGTTTTTTTTTTTAAATTATAAATTTCAAACGGAAACGTATAAAGAGCAACAGAAGAAAACGTGCAACATGATACGTTTAAAAACGTTGACATGGTCATACCCATTTCTGATATGCTTAACGTTACCTTTAAGTATGAAATATTTATGACGTTTTCATTAACGTTATGTTCCTGTTCTTATGCATACATATATATATATATATTTATATAAGAGGATAAACATTTCATTAAATGAATACTAAATTATAATTACAACAAACTAAAGATATCAATAATTTTGTTGTTATTTTAAATATGACGGTACATTACTTGGCGTTACACTGGCTCCAAAGTCAAACACAGACGTGTTAACAAATTTATAATTAAAAATAACTAAAATAAGAAAACTATGAAAATAATATGATGTTGTAAATATTTATTTTAATATCTAAATGGGTAAAATATCGATCTTTTTTAAAACATCATTTCACGAACACTAATACAAAAAAAAATTTTCATTTTGCTTTACAGATCAAGAACTAGCCGTTATATATCTTGCCTAAATTATAACGTATATGCTTATAAGTGCATCATTGAACAAAATATTTAAGAAGCAATTAAACACTTAGAAATTATTTTAAATATAATTTAATGCATATTGTAGCAGCGTCCCACAGTAGTCCCACCCGTTATTGGCGAACATGTTGCTTGATCAACTAATGATTCATTGTCTCCTCTGTGCTTTACTTGATGGGCCAAACTGTTGCTGATCAACTAATGCTTCATTGTCTCTTCTCTGCTTTACTTGACGGGCCAAAATGCCGCTGATCAACTAATGCTTCATTGTCTCTTTTTTGCTTTACTTGATGGGCCAAATTGTCGCTGATCAACTAATGATTCATGATCTATTCTCTGCCTTACTTGATGGGCAAAACTGTAGCTGATCAACTAATGTTTCATTGTTTCTTCTCTGCTATACTTGATGGGCCAAACTGTAGCTTATCATATAATATTTCATTGTCTCTTCTCTGCCTTACTTGATGGTCCAACATGTAGCGGATCAACTAATGATTCATGATCTATTCTCTGCCTTACTTGTATCTGATCAAATAATGTTTCATGGCCTATTCTCTGCCTTACCTGATGGGCCAACCTGTAGCTGCCCAGCTAAAGTTTCATTGTGTCTTCTCTGCCTCACTTGATGGGCCAATCTGTAGCTGAGCAGCTAATGTTTCATTGTCTCCTCTCTGCCTTACTTGATGCCGAAGATTGAAAGAAATCTCAACAATCACACTAAAAAAACTCACCTTCCCCATTCTTTATTTTGTTAGCGGTGATATAGGGCTTAAGTGGGGTGGAGGTGGCGGAAAGCATTTGGGGGGGGGGTGGTGGGATGGGGATGTGAGGTTTCAAGCAAAAAAAAACAAAACAAAAAAACTATAAGTTTTTATCTGTTTAAATCATCATTTTCTATAATTATTTCTCATTTTAAATGATACATCTTCTCATAACGCTACAATACATCTTCTCATAACGCAACAATACATCTTCTCATAACGTTACAATACATCTTCTCATAACGCTACAATACATCCTCTCATAACGCTACAATTTAAAACTTCGCTTGACGCCAATTTCACGGTCAATGATTTTTTTTCTTAATTCTTCATCAGCGCTTGGCCTCGATCCGATATTAGACAAGATGGAGGTTAAAGACGGTGATAGATTCTCCATGACTTGCGATGTAAATCGTATTGTTGACGGCGTTACACGATGCATGTTAATGATGCTACAACTATTCTATAACAAGCCATTAGAGAGTGCAAAGCTGCTGACACACTATGATGGCACCCCCACGAAAGTAAGACCTGTTAGACATATTGAACATAAATAACACATGTATTCAAATAGTCATCGTTTTATTGAAAATCTAAACCATAAAGCAACATTCCCAACTAAGATTTGATAACAACAATTGCAGTCCGGTATGACTCGAGGCACGAAAGGACGTGATCTACACAGGAGAGTTCTTGTTCAGGCCTTATCATTTTTACATTTAATTCTTACACATGTCATCGATCAAATTCATTAATGATGGTTCGTGCCTAAATTTATTAAATCATTTTTTTAATGACGTTTTTTGTAACAATGTAGCCGAATGTCCCTGACGGAAGAAACTGGACGTTTGAGTTCACAAAGAGTGCGACTAACAAATTGGACGAAACGCAAGTGAAGCTCATGGTGAATGACGCCAAATGTAGCGATGCTGGTTTTTACACATGTGAATGCTTTGGCTCTTCAATGGAACCGTTTTTTACAATATCTGAATTGAAAAGAAGCCGTAAGTCTCTCTTCCACCCCCCCCCTCTCTCTCTCTCTCTCTCTTTCTCTCTCTCGCTATACTTATATATATATATAAATATATATATATATATATATATTTATAGTAGCCGATCTTCCCGGCATTTGCCAAGATAGCATTCAAAGCAAAGGAACTGCTACAGGCTTCTAATTAACGTTAAATTTAAGCATCGTTGTTAAAAATGATAATAACAAAGCCATCTCATTTTAAAACAGATTTATAATAACTTGAGTAAACCTTTCGTTCCTCGATAGGATTCTGATCATAGAGGGAACACAATAGGATCCCATTTCCCGATGGGATCCCTTTTTCCGATATATCATTGAATCAGGAGGAATCCTGACCCCTTTTCGATCCCAATCCAGTTGGATTTCGATCGCTGTGGGATCCTGATCTATGTGGGTTCCCTATCCCGGTTGATCCCAATTCCGGTTGGATCTAGATCCCTGTGGGATTCCAATACCAGTGAGTTCGCGATCCTGCTGTTTTTCTGATCCCGGTGGGTTCCTAACGCCGTCACTATCCAGATCCCGTTAATATATCGTTTCCCGGTGGGATTCTGATCACTCTGAATCCCAATTCTGTTGGAATCCCAATCCCGACGGTGTTCCGATTCCGATTGAATTTCGATCACTGTTTGGTTTCTTTCCACATAGACTCGAGTTTTTAATAAGATCCCGATACCTGTTGGAACCCGATTCCGATGGGAACCCGATTCCATTAGGTTCCCTTTCCCGGTAAGATCCCGATCTTTTTGCCCTCCTTATCATGTCGGTATTCCTATCCCTATTGAAACCCGATACCTGTAGAATCGGATCCCGGTAGTATTGAGTTTCCGGATAGGATCCCGATCCCGTACGGATCTCTATCCCGTTGTTATTCCGTTCCCGGTGGGATCCTGAGCTTGGTGGGATTCCTGTCACGTTAGCATCCTGATCCCCTTTAGGATCCTATTTCCTGGTGGGATTTCGATCCCTCTAAATCCCAAACGCCGTGGAATCGCGATCCCATCATTATTTAGATCCGGGTGGAATCTCGATTCCATTAAGATCCCTTTACCGATGGCTTCCGGATAACGGCGGGTCTTCGGTAGGTTCAAGTATTCCGATAAGATTCCGATCCGAGTGTGAATTCGATCCCTGTTAGAATGCTGATCCCGTTTCCTGGTGGGATCCTCTCCTCTGAAGGGATCCCATTTTCTGCTTGGAGGCCGATCCCTGTTTGATCTCGTACTCATTCTGATCTCGTTACCGTTGTGTTCATTGTACTGCTGGATCGATGTCAACGTTACTATAAGCTTTTATATTATCTCATCCGTCGATTATATAGAAATTTCTGGAACATTCTAGAGTAAATGTAATATCCTCCTCGAAACGTGTAAACAATATTTGTCTAACTAATTATTTTTCGAGCACGAAAATTATACAACGAAATTCACCGCTATACCAATAATATATTTAATCTGAAAGAGGGGCCCCATTGGGGGCCCATTTCATAATTGTATAGAATAAGTTTTGACTGAGTTGTTGTTGTTTTTTTTTGGGGGGGGGGGGAGGGTACGCTATAAAAATCACTGATCTTAATTTAAAATCCACCGATATTTCAATACGAACAATGACGTGTATTCCTACCAGGCCAGACCTATATCCTTCAAGTCAAATAGAACCTAAAGCGTTGTCTAAGCCTATTGATATTTATTTTGCCTATAAAAGGAAAAAAAATTGGCCCCCAAAGGAATAGTTATTATGAGTTCAGTACCCTTAGGTATTTGAATAGGTATAATTAAGTGTATGTAAGGTTCATGATAAGGTAATATAAGATACGATTCTTTTATTGATTAAAAAAAAAGGATTTTTTAAAAATTGCATTGTACATTTTCAGAACATAAATAAAACAATTTGAACACAAGAAATCTACATTAAATAAATTCACTAGTAAAAAAAAGCACGCTGGTAAATTCGTACAGATAGGGGAACAAATGAATTTTTATATCTTTAAGTTCTTGCCATGAGAGATAAAATTCGTCTTAAGTATCTGTGATGAAGAGGGTGGGATGTATCATCCAAAATGTGTTGTGTTTAACAATAAAATGTTTCTTCAAACAGTTCTGTAACTGAAGGATGTTTAGTTTGTGTTATGTTCCTAGTTTTATAGATTCATATATGTATTTTATGTTTAATATCAGACAATGAATTTCCACGCCAGCAGGTAATGTTAAGAATTAAATAGGCTTCCAATTGTTGGACTGTTGAATAAGAAAACGACTTGTTTGTTTACGCCCAAATTGTACACTTATTTGAGTTAGAACAATATTTTTTTTAAAATTTTTTATGCAGGATTTTGCCGAGCTCATGCCATGTTTGCTTATTATCAATGGTGACGCCATATATATATATATATATACTTTCTCTACACTTTCATTTTTAAGTTGAGATCCGTAATCTCCGGAAACCAACATCACTTTCCCTTGTTTTTTTAAAAGATATTAAGTTACTTCAGGTGATCAATATGCATGCAGTAGGTTTTCAGCCTGTGCCTGAAATATGTTTGTTGAATATTCTGCATCGAAATCAAATGTTTAATGCTTTTTTGTTTGTTTTAATTTGTCTAATCCCATAAGCTACCTGTGATTTAACGACATCCAAGGCCGTCACTTCAGTTGCGGCTACAAAGAAACCAACGAATGCGTCAGTTAACCTGGGGTCCCCAAAGATCTTCTTCCTGATTCTTCTTGCGGTCGTCGTTGTCGAAATGAAATGTCATGTCAACAGGGGCTTGCCAGCAAGCAGAGGCGTAGAAAGACTCAATTCTACCGAGGGCGGGACATGTTCTGAATAAAAAAAACAATGTTGCAAAGGACAGATTGCAGCCTTTGCATTCCTTCCTAAGCTATTGCACATGTTGAATATATAGAGTTTAACTTCTTAGTCAACTTATTCACATAATTCACATATCTGAAATCTATAAAAAAACAATGTTGCAAAGGACAGATTGCAGCCTTTGCATTCCTTCCTAAGCTATTGCACATGTTGAATATATAGAGTTTAACTTCTTAGTCAACTTATTCACATAATTCACATATCTGAAATCTAATTCATTTTCATCTTTTATTTACCTATGTGTTAAGCTTAAGTGTTTGTCATCGCAGTGTCACAGTGTGATCACATGGGGATCTTTAGGGGTTGGTCAACTCAGTGTCCCTGTGTGAATAGATAGAGTTAAGGGTTGGTCATCTCAGTGTCTTTGTGTGAATAGATAGAGTTAAGGGCTGGTCCTCTGAGCGTCCCTGTGTGAACAGATAGAGTTAAGGGTTGGTCATCTCCGTGTCCCTGTGTGAACAGATAGAGTTAAGGGTTGGTCATCTCAGTGTCCCTGTGTGAACAGATAGAGTTAAGGGTTGGTCATCCCATTTTTTCAGTGTTTTCGAAAAGAGACATTTAGGTATTGGTCATTGTTGTGTCTCATTGGAATCACATAGATACAACTAGGTGTTGATCATCGTAGTTACTCCGTGGGATTACATGGAGGCAATTACTGATTGGTCATTGTATAGCCCAAGTGGGATCACATAGAGACAATTGAGTGTTGCTCATCATAGTGTCTTAGTTATACCACATTGAGACAATTATGTGCTAGTCATCGTAGTGTCTTAGCGCGATCACATAGAAAAAATTACGTGTTGTTCATTGTAGTGTCTTAATGTGATCACATAGAGACATTTAGTTGTCAGTTAATGCAAGAGTTGTTCCTCTGCGTGGCGTAACCGACCAGTAGGGTGGGCTTGACTACCTGAAGCTAAACATTTTACGTCGCTACGTCTGTCTCCCAAAGTGAAAAAAAAAAAGGGGGGGGGGATTACTTGTAATCTTCCTCTGGGTGAAGGTAAGAGAAAACAGCCTCGTCACTATTCATTACACACGGCTAGTACATCAAAAAGAAATGTAAGCGAGGTGAACTCGAATCCCCTCATCCCTTGCAGATTGTTACTTGTAATCTTCCTCTGGGTGAAGGTAAGAGAAAACAGCCTCGTCACTATTCATTACACACGGCTAGTACATCAAAAAGAAATGTAAGCGAGGTGAACTCGAATCCCCTCATCCCTTGCAGATTGGATATGGGGCTCAGGCGAACTGCAAGCTCTGGTGCTACTGGGACACTATGCAAAGTGCCGCTGGTCACCTCCCTAAAACGTTGGTAATTATGCAGCTTAATTTCAACGGGGTCAGAGGGCAAATCCCCGAGCTCACGAAACTTCTCCACATTGGACGTAGCTCTACTTCAGGAATGCCTACTGAAAAAGCACCAAGTGCACGTCACGGGCTTTTCAGTTTACCGCTGCATTTGCGTTAGGTGCCAAGGGTTGGTAACTCTCGTGAAAAAACCACCTCACAGCGGAACTGTTAGAGAGCAGGAACATTAGCGGGACGGATACTCTGACCCTAAGAGTAGTCGTAAGGGGTATGTCTTTTACCATTAACAATATTTATTACTCACCTAGGAACTCTTTGTGCCTGCCCCTGCAGGGCACAACCCCCTTTAGCGATAGAATAATAGCAGGGGATTTCAAAGCAAAAGTGGGGGATATGAATAATCCCGATACCAACGTCTAAGGGCGCTATTTAGAGGAGGTCGAGCTCACGACCAACCTCATCAGGCTGCACAACGGCAACAGTGAACCAGCATTGCTTCATTATGACAACAGAGCCACGTCACGCCCCGATATAACACTGGTCTCTGCCGAGCTTGAGGCAAAGATCCTATGTGAAGTCTTGGAAGAGGTTGGCAGCGATGATCGACCGACTCTCATCACAATCAATCTTGTACTTGCAAAGCCAAGGTTTGCTAGGAGACATTGGCTGTTCGGCAAAGCAAAGTGGACACTATTTAGAGAAAAAGTAGAGAGTACGGTGGAGGAATAAGCTGGGGTTCCCGATACCTCTGAAAACATTGACACTGCATACAGCAAATTCGTGAATGGCATCCTCACAGTGGATAAAAAATACTCTCCCTAGAATTAATGGCAACCTCAAGTTTTGCTGTTAATTTTATTTATTTAGCTCTTACATAGAAAAAAATACGAATTCGGGGCCCTGGTTCTTCTTCTTCTTATATTTGAGAGGCCCACGATCAATTTGTTGATCATTATGGCTCCTGGTTTTAATTCAGAGTTTGCCTTCTCTTAGATGGGTTGCCGTCCAAGGCTAACGAGTCCCATCCACCCGGGGTGCTAGGGATGTTGGCTTTAATGGGGATTGAACTCCGGACCACTGGCGCCACTGCTATTTGGTTTGAGACAGTTTAGACCGCTCGGCCACCCAGCGTTCTCGACCGTTCCGTGTAGAGTTTCGAAATGAAACCTGTTTAACTTTTGTAAGTAATCTTAAAGGAATAAGCCTGCTAAATTTGAGGCTTCTATCTTAAGAGAAAGTTGGAGAATTAGTGATGAGTCAGTGTCTAAGAAAAAATGAATTGTCCGCAATGAGCTCCCATTCAATATTGGCTTCGTTCATGCCCCTTTTGTTAACGTCCATAAAATATCAGGCTTGGCAGTCTAATCAGTCGTGTCCCTTCTGCCAGCTCTCAATACAGCAGCATCTCTGGGAACAGTTACGTGGCCTAACCAGCGAAGGCGCCTCTTGCTAAGAAAGGAGAATATGCTAAACATGTGTGCACGCTCCAAGACCTCCACGTTAGGCACCCTGTCCTGCCATCGAATGCGTAAAATGCAACGCAGACATCTTCGGTGGAAGCTGTTGAGTTTCCGCTCCTGACTGGTATATGTGGTCCACACTTCGCTACCATATAGGAGTGAACTAGGCACCCATGCCAGATAGACACTTATTTTTGTTTTATTAGTTTGATAGAGATTATTCTACACCTATTCAGTTTAGCCGTATTTGCTGTTGCTTTTACGATCCTGATATGTATCTCTTCTTCGAGGGGGAGAGAACTAGAAATATTAGATCCAAGGTATGCGAAATGCTTAACTACCGAAAGATTATGACCCTCAATAGATATGATTGGAGGGAATGGTGCATCTTGCATCATTACACGAGTTTTCTGTAGACTAATTGAACGTCCAAACTCTTTACTAGCATGTGATGGACGATTAAAACCCTTTAAAATCTTCTTCTATGTGAGATGTTCAGGCGGCATCGTCAGAGAAAAGCAGTTCACGAATCAGTATCATTTTTACTTTTGTCTTTGCACGAAGGAGGGTTATATTAAACAGGCTACCATCAGATTTGGTATGGACGTACACTCCATGTTCACAGTCCTTGAAGGCAAATTGAACGAGCATCGAGAAAAAAATGGAGAAGAAAGTTGTTGCCAGTACACAACCCTGTTTTACTCCTCTGCTGACTGGGAATGACTCAGAGATCGCGCCATCAAAAGTTATCGTGATGTACATGTTTTTGTGAAATGACTGTATGATTGTGAGCAGTCGTGCTGGGACAACCTATTCTTTGCAGGATACTAAGAATGCCTCTTCAACTTACCAAGTCAAATGCCGTTGTCAGGTCTAAGAAAGCAATATAAAGTGGCATATGTTGTTCACGCAATTTCTCCTGCATTTTGCGTTACGAGAATATCCTGTCTATTGTTGAGCGCCCACTCTGTAAGCCACATTGCGACTCTGGGTAGATGTGGTTCACCAGACTCTGCAATCATTTAAGGGCAATAATGGCAAAAGTCTTTCCAACTACGCCAAGGAGAGAAACTCCTCGGTAGCAAGTGCAACCACTTTGGTTCTCTTTATTCCTACAACATATGCTGTTTATTAGGGTGTTAGCATGGTTAACTACTTTACTATCTTGTGCGTTCAGGATGCCGGCTTGTGTAATGTAATACATCTCATATTTTACTCTTTCACTCCTAAACTCTATCAGTCTGTCACACAAGAAGTAGATATTTATTTATTTAGGCATTTTTATATAGCGCTTATCATAAAGCTCTAAGCGCTTTACAATTATTAAAACATGTAAACTAAGTAAATACAAATGAGACACTAGGATAGTAACTACTATTCTATAGAAACAATGAAAATTGCTATAAAAAGAGGACACTTTGACACTTCAGGATTAAACCGAAACAGAAAATTAGGTAGGGCAACGAGGGTGCATCACAGGTCATAGGCGGACCTAAACAGATGAGTTTTAAGGGACTTTTTGAAACTGGACGAGGTTTCACTATGACGTATATGGAAGGGGAGCTGGTTCCAGAACGTGGGCCCATGGAAGCAGAAGGAGCGTTCACCGATGGTCTTAGTTTTAGTTCTTGGGATTGAGAGGGTTCTACTGTCAATGGAAGAACGTAGTTGTCTTGTGGGGATGTAAGGAAGCAACAGATCAGAGAGATAGACAGGAAAGTGAGGGTCAGTGAACGAGTTGAAGCAAAGATTGGAAGACTTGTATTTGATGCGAGAGGATATTGGAAGCCAGTGGAGTTGCCGCATGTGTGGATGAATGTGGTCATGTTTCTTTAATTTAAAATGAGTCTGCATGCTGAATTCTGTGCCTTCTGAAGTTTGTCTATGTGGTGTTGAGGAATGCCTGAGAGAAGAATGTTACAGTAGTCAAATTTTGAAAGAATATCCAGTTAAATACACAGTACTTTATTAAATCACTTTTCTACAACAATAATAATAATAATCCTTGCACAAATATCCAGGTAATAAAAATCAGGATGCAATTATCTCACACATGTATAAATATATAATACTCCATGGTATGATAGACAATTCACATGACAGAAAATCAACCACGTCTTCACTTCTCTTCGACATGAGAGGGACTGCGACTGATCACTCAAAAACGCGAGGCTCACTTCCGCTGTAC